AAAGATGGAGTCCATCCTTAAAATCCATACCACACACCTATCTTGGACAAGGGTCTGGTATGGATTTTGGAGGGGCCACATTTTTTTTCGTATTTATGGTTTTAACATTTTAGACTGGGTGCCTCAAGATTTTGCATACTTTTAAAGGGTGCCGAGACTGAAAAGGTTGAGAAATGCTTGTATAAACAACAGAACTGTGTCAAAGAGATTTTTCCTTTTATAACATCCAAAAGATAACCAATATACAACAAAACGAACAAATACAAAAGATTTATTTACCATACATAAAACTATTCACATATATATCCTGTATACACACACACACACACACACACATGTTAAAGTGGTTGATGCAATCCTGTATATATCGCATGTTGTCTGTACAGATGCCTGTAATTTAAATCCATAAAAGTCACATGATGGTCAACATGTTTTGTAGATTCAGCCCTCTTCATCAGAACCAATTGTGAACAAAGGCTTAATGCTGTATAGGGGATTTTCCATCAGACATAACTTTTTAGTCTAATAGTTAAATATAAGGTATCATCCCACTAACAGTGCACAGTGGCCATGATTTAAAAACAAATATACACTTCTGGTGGTTACATATTATCCAACTGCTGTCAAAGCCTGTGCGAAGAACTTCCGGACTTCCAAGGAGATCCTAATAGTTGGTGGTATCCATAGGGTACACAGAGGTGCCTCGTGGCTTGGCCAGAATTTCCACTCCGTGTCGTGCATTCCCAAGGTGCAGGCGACTTGACCACCAGCACCATAGAAATGCATGATTCAAATCCTTCCCCCACCATTCATAAGAGGACATATGTCCTCCTCCATCCAGACCTGCACCACCTACTGCTGTTGCTGCTACATCCACACTGTGGTGATGATTATAAGGCTAGGTTCACACCTGCATTACACCGCATGACACCTGGGACACACGCCCCCGGGATCGCGCGGTCCTGCGTAATGCAGGCAGCGATTGCCACGCTGCCCCATTTATTTCAATGGGGTGACATCTGCACGGCATTCGCAGAAAAAGGGTACATGTTTTGCAATATACGTTGCGTGGCTGTTTTAGCCGCGATTGTGTTGTGGTTGGAAACTGCGCAATCTGCCCGGCACGACTGGGGTGCCATTAGAAAATATTGGCACCCACAGCGTGATCGGTTCACACCTTGGCGACTCCTGACCCCGTGGCAATGAGGGTGTGAACCTAGCCTCAGGTAGGTCTCTGATGTGAAGGAGGGACTCTGATATGAATATGACCTTTTTTTGTGGTCCCCCCTAAAATCTATACCAAACCCACATCTAGAATAAGGGTCTGGTATAAATTTTGAGGGAACCACATGTCATTATTTAAATTTTTTACATTTGTGACTGGGATGCCCCAAGATTTTGCATAATTTTTTAAGGGTATGAATGAAAAGTCCTCTCTGTTGTCCCTCTCCAGTCAAGTGTGGGGAAATCAAACATTTTAT